GGCGGCGGCGCCCACCCGGGCACCCCGGGCCTGGAGCAGGTGCGCACCCCCACCAGCACCTCGGCCCAGGACGAGATCCACCCGCTGGAGATCCTGCAGGCGCAGATCCAGCTCCAGCGGCAGCAGTTCAGCATCTCCGAGGACCAGCCGCTGGGCATGAAGAGCAAAAAGGCCGAGTGCCCCAGCCAGGCCGGGGCGGGCGACTTGAACAGCTGTTGCTCGGATCCCGCCAAAGGGGCCATGAGCACGATCGACCTGGACTCTCTGATGGCAGAGCACAACTCCACCTGGTACCTGCCCAGCGAGAAGGCCTTGATGGAGGGACAAGAGGAGGACAAACCTCTGGCACCGTGGGAGAAGTCAAAGCCTCCGAATCCCAGCAAAGAAGGTATCTGTTTCTGATCCCTCTGTGGGCGTGAATGGAGGCTGGGGGCACGCGTGGTTCTCATAAAAAGTTTGCCTAATCATAATGCTTGGGGGGAACCTTCCTGCCGGCACAGGCCCCTCACGTTGCTTGACTTGGTGTCCTATCAGGGGAACGAGGGGTGCTGGGGGTTCCCCTCCTCCCCGTGCAATGCCTCGGGGGGTGTTGAAGGTTGAGTTAGGGGGGCCGTCTGTCCTGTTGTTTTGCCCATTTTCAACCATCCCGAGCAGGTCAGTTTCTAATGAAAACAAACAGGCTTTCGGCGGCACCCATTATTTCTCGAAGAACTCTTGTATATATCAACATGTAATTACCTAATCGGGGCTGGTAAAGAGGTGTTAGGATTGTCACCTCTCTCTGTCTACAGCACCCTATATAAACCCGTCTCTTGCGTAGGGACCTGCTAATAGGAAATGCATTGCTGACAGCAGTGTGCTTGGATGGTTGCTTTCCAAGACTAGGTTGGGCATCCCTTCACACACAAAGGAACAATTGTTCCTCTGTGAACTCGAAAGAGGAAATATGTTTGGTCGGGAATTTAACAGGGGAGTTACCGGTAGGTTAGGTAGGTGATCAGTGATTTAGGGAACCATTGGCGGTTTGGGCGAATGGAATCCACATCTCAGATTAGGAACAAAACACTGCCCCTCCCCTATAAACCTACACACTTAGAACTTCATTGGCTAAATGAATAGTGGCTCTTTGCTACTTAAAACTAAGGGAACTCTTACCGTAGAAGAAGCAGACAGTCGGTTTCTTTACAGCTTTTAGGATGATGGTTTTAAAATCTTAACTTGTTTGTGCCCATAACACATTCATTCTAATTTCAATTAGGCAGTATTCTAAGCCATGTAATTTCTGTGTTAACATGGGTGAACTCAACTAATTTTTTCATATTGGATTAATTAAGCAGGGAAAGTTTTAAATATACATGGCAAGTGTTCAGATGGGGTTCTCAGTTTAATTTGCAGAAATACATATATTGACAGAAGAGAACTTCCTGCTGTTAAACATTGCTATATGTATATATATATATAATATAAAGGTTTTGGTGAATCCAGCAAAAATGTGTTTGGGGTCAATGTTGCATAGTGTTTCTAAGTATTTTCCTGTTTATTTTTTAAAAGATGTGGTGCTGAGCTGAGAAGTTTCTACTATTGTTAACATAAAGAAAATATAAAATCAGGCTCAGTGTTTGTCAATATAAAAACATGCTTAGTTGATGTTTAATATCAACATTTAGTTTTCATTCTTTATTCATTTTCTTTATTATCTAGAGGACATTATAATTCTAAAATGGAAAACAAATACATGGATGGAAAACAGTTTTAGTTATAAAAGCTCCTTAACAAAGATGATTTCAGTTTTAATAATTTCCATTTTATCAAAGCCATTTTTTCTAAGCTCACTGACTTAAGGTGTGTGTGTGTGTGTGTGTACACCCTTCCCGCACATACTATATGTGTAAATTGTCTATATGTATGCGTGTGTGTGTGTGTATATGTTTTATAGCATGTACACACATATATGTATCATGTATTTTTATGTTGATTCATTTTGCTAATGTTAGGCTGGTTCAGATCTATTTTTGCTGTCTCCTCTTAAGAGCTGCTTTTTGTAGTACCCTTGATTGACATTGGAATTTAGGTAAAGAGAGATGTTATTAAAATGAAAATGGAGTTTGGGTGGTTTGAAAACTCCATAACTTCCTACTTCCAGTTCTTGTGGGCTTTCCAGCTTTCGTTTTCTGAAGCATGAATGCTAGCCCCCACTGTTTGTCTCTTTGTTCATGTTTAATGCCCAGCACTGGAGACTCTCATTTGAAGCTGGAGTGCTTAGCATGCACAGCAGACTCTAGGAAACCCATCAGCATTCTCCATGCTTCGCCCAGGCAAGGACATAAATTGGTTTGTTTGGGGCCCTTCTTTCCATTTTTAAATGGAGTTGCACACAGCATCCTTCCTGGCCCCTTCTCTTTTATTGTTTCTTGTACACAACATCTAGATCTGACTGGATCAATAGCTAGTTAGCACAAATCACAGTTCCTGTCAGTTCTACCTTGTCAGACATACACACACTCATGCACACTCTAATTAAAAGCAGATTGGGAAAAAATGAAACTAAGTTTTTTAGATTTTAATTTATTGGATTAAAAAAACCTAAGTGAAATATTTTTTGACTTTTTTGTTACAGCTTGGCTTAATATTATAAGCTTTGTTTGAGACAACTCCCCTACACACAGTTTGATATTTTAAAAAATGGTCTTGTTTGATAGTCACCAGTACTTTTAAGGAAATAACTCTTCCTTCTCATATAATGATAATCATAAATATTATTACAAGAGCCAGCTCATCACTCTTGTGCTGGTGTTCCTGGAAGGAAAACTAGGTAACTTGTATTCCTATATAAGGATACGTTTTAGTACTTAAACCTCTTAACATAAAATAAGATATTGATCTAACTCTATCACACTGGATAGATATATTCATTTTGCTTTCCATTTTTACCCCTTGGAAGGTTTAAATGGACCAATTCTTCAAGTGAGACAAGTGATATAGGTAAATAGAGAATTCACTGTAATTGTTCTTTGAAATGATAGGAGGCAAAGTAGATGAGTTCTTTTCCCTGTCACAAAATAAGAAGTATTACATTTTTAATTAAATCATATCCTTACGTGCTTGAAGTTGTGTTTAAGAAAAGGGTTTTATTTATCATGTGACGGAAGTTCAACCCATTTTTAGTCAACTGGAATTTGCCTAAAACAATGTAGGTTTCTAAGTGTTTCCAGTTGTGCATATACAGAAAATGTATGTAGGTTTCAAACATCACTACTTAGGAGCCAAGCATTGGTAATGCTTAATACAGTACAGTGTGAAAAGTTATAAGTTTATTAAAACATTTAATTTTGTTATACTATTAAAATGCTCGTATTTCTGAAGTATAGCTTAACCTCCTTAACAAATATTTTGAATTTTTTTTAAGTTGTACTCACTGGGGTCAGAAAGAACCTCTTCTGTTTTGTACATAACACACAACTACCGTGACATGCATTGATTCGTCTATGGACTTCTTTTGAAGGTTATAAATAGGGTGAATGGAGAAGTTCTAACTCATGGAGCACTGAAGTCAGCATTCCATGTTCTTGAGGCCGTTATCCAAAGTGTGTGTGGTTTTTGTGTTTTTCAGATTAGTTCTACTGTGATTGTAGGAGCTTTGTTAATTGAAGTATTTTCTGTCTGTAGAAGGCAACTCTTTAAATATTCAGTTAATACCCACACTAATGGAAGAAACAACTTGTCTGAATGATTGTTGCAGTGACTGTACAGACTCTTCTTTGCTGATGCTCTGTAATTTTTTGGTAGTGGTACTAGAATGAGTGTTTGTCACGTCTATCATTGTTTGTGGGAGTAGTAAATTTAAGGATAGATAACCATAGATAACACATGCGTGTGTACACACACATACAGCCTGTTTGACATTTTGTGATTATATATTTGGAAGTTTCATCCTATCATGATATTATCTTTATTAAAAATGTATTCTTCAGTTAGGAATATTTCCAGTATTAAGTTCTTTGTCCTAAAATAACCTTTGTGAGGTGAATAGTAGGATTTTCCATAAAGCTTGATAGAATTTTATACCTTCTCTGTGCTATCCGCCCGGGATCTAGTATTGAGGAACATTAACATTGTGTCAGTAGAAATACCGATGATTCTTAAAACCCTAGCTAACTGTAATTAGGAAGAGCCGGACCAAGATCACTTGCAAAGCCCAGGATGAACTGAGTATGTTTCACTTTACTTCATTTGATTAAACTAGGAAAACTTTACTCCAATGGAGTTTTGATTAGTACATTCTGGGAGGCCAATAGTTAAAGTTCTTGGTTTTTGTTTCTTCCCACCCCCACCATTGAAATTTCTAAGGTCCATATTGATGCCTTCACTTGACATTTGCACCACAGGAATATGTAACCTAAAACCACACCGGTGTTAATCAGGGAAAATGAAAATAGATGTGGTTACCCTTTGTGGCTCTTACATTGGTGGTTGCCCATTTTCATTTCCAAGTCCAGCTCAGTACGTTTAATTTCTGATCTTTTGGTTCTTAACTATTTCATAGCAGTAATAAACTTGTCTTTGGAACAAGTCAAGACATAAAATGCTAAGCAAGCAAACTATTTATTTAAAACTGTACATTTCTACAATATATTAAAAAAGGACTTAGATTCTCTCAAGATACGGCTGTTAGTCCTTGTCAAATTTTCTTTTAGCTCCCAATACATTCTTTGGTGGGTTTTTATTTTAGTAAGCTGCTGACTTATTTGAGAGATTTTACCAAGGAGAATAGATTTGTTTACTAAAACGGAATTTGTCAAATTTCCTGTGCAGCATTTCAAATGCTGAAATAACATTAAAAGCAATATATGATTTGAAATTGACTTGTACTGTAATAAGGACTATAGGAGATGAGTTAACACTGACTAAACTTATTTTATAGCAGGGAAACTATGATTCCTGGTGCTATTTTGTTTGCTTGATAGAGGTATTTAAACTTCCATGAGGAATTTTAAGTTACCAGAAATGCAATTACCCTTGCCAAGAAGTTATGTGATATACTCTGCAGATATGAAATATACGTCTTTAATAAATGATCTGGGTTAGCGAGCTGATTTATGGTGAGAGAATACTCCCACTGCAGATTGCAATGAAGATTTCATTGTGCATTTAGATTTGGATTTAATATGATCTCTTAAACTCTTCTGATCTGTAAAAATCTAGCAAGGTTGCTGCTGACTGATTTGGCTTCATTTGAATGACAATAGCACCATTTCATTTACTCTGACCAGCCATTAGCTTTGCAGTATCATTTTATAGAAAAATGTTCCTGTTCAGAAACACTTGCTTCTGTTTTATATACTGTTAGAGATAAAATATTTGCAGCTTTATATGCTAAATATCAGACGA